GGGGGGTGTAGGCCAAATATTTCCGAATGACGAAAAAAATTTCCGAATATTTCATGGCATACGAAGCCACGAAGGTGTTTGCTATCTGAAAAATGAAGACGCAATTTACAAACAAAAATACACATAGTTTACGCAAAGACATATCACAGAAGTATGCAGTGCCGTAGGAAGCTCTTTTTGAGTGGGGGCTGAGAACGAGGGCCGAAGGCCCGAGGAAATTTTTAAATTTAGATTCTCTGAAATGCCATTTCCTGGACTTTGGGGGAAGTTTTGACAGAATTCTGATGGTCAGAAAACAGAGTTTTAATATGATATTTGTGTTACTCTGAGTATGCATCCACAGTGGGCAAGCTGAAAAGTTTGCCTGGCCACAGTGGGAATCGAACCCGCGACCTTTGGGATACTAGTCCAATGCTCTCCCACCTGAGCTATGTGGTCAAGTCGGTTCGACTTGTTGATATTTCGGAACTGAATCTAGTTCCTTCGATATCAGTGTAATCTATGATATGATTTTTGTGTGTATGTTGGTGTTATGTAGTGAATATGATGTTTGTGATGTTACTCTGAGTATGCATCCACTGATCCACACTGGGCAAGCTGGAAAGTTAGCTTGCTCACGGTGGAAATCGAACCCGCGACCTTTGGGATGCTAGTCCAATGCTCTGCCAACTCAGCTACGTGGTAAAGTCGGTTCGAGTTGTTAATGGAGTTTTAGTATGTCGAAATTTACAATTTGGTTACAATTTAGCAGAGCTAAATGGCGAAGTCGTATTTAACTATATATATTGGAGAAGTTGTAGGAAAGAGTATGGGTAATATAATTATTTGCGGTTTGTCATGGATAATGTAGCCGCTTAAAATTAATAAATTGTTTAAATGATAAAGGTGTGCATGATTTTGAAAAAGGACTGATTGTCAGAAAATTATTGTTTGGGTGCTGCCTCCCCCCCCCCCCTGGGAAGTACTGAAACCGAAAAACATTTACCGATTTACGATGTGTTAAACGTTATCCAGGTAAATGTCGTGATTTCGTTTTACACTGATTATAATATTATAATATTATAATATTTTTTCTGTTTAATTAAACAACTAAAATTTTGTTATACTATTATTGCCGTAATTTTCCGAATGGCTAACCCGATTTTCCGAATATGTTAATTCTACAAAAGTTGGGGAGGTTAACCCCCCCCCCCCTACGGCCCTGGGGTTAATGAGCCTGTTTAGGTAAATTCAGACAGGCAATATTATCCTGAAGTGGCAACATATATGGGAGTAAAATACATAGTCGGATTTTGAGGGTGTGTGGGGAAGTGCGCACCTCCCTTGAGATCGTTTTGCACCTCCCCAGAGAATTATTGCACCTCCCCTAAAAAGTCATGCACCTCCTTTTGGGAAAGTTTCAATGATGGATCAAAGTGAAAATTTGATATTTTTTGGTTGTGTCGTTGACTTTGGCCCGTTCTAAGCCCTAACTTTTCATGGGGCCATGCATGCATGAGCTAGACCGTCGCACCTCCCCTAAATGTTTTCCACCTCCTCCACTGTTTCCACCAAAATCCAGTCTTGGTAAAATAGCATTCAACGAATAAAAACATTCAACATGAACTGTATCTAAATTGTAATAGCGACATGAAAAAGTTATATGTAATCACCCAGCTGATCCTGTAGAACCTACAAATGTACTCCCATCTGATCCTGTTGCATTTACAAATATCTCCTAGGTAATCCAGAGGAATCTACAAGAAACCCTCCATCTAAAGGCCGTTTTCCACTAGGCGGAATTTTCTACACGGAACGGAATTTCTCTTTGCCTTTTCTAATAGGTAATTCCAGCAATTGTTCCATTATGCTGAAAAATTTCATTAAAAGCCATGGGCGTACGGGAAAGAAAACTTTTTCGGACTGTGCCCACGTTGGCAAAAAACATTTTCCGGAGAAACTTTCCAAAATTGTTGTCCACGGGGGGGGGTATGATTACGAAAAATTCCTATTAGATAGCATATTTCCCACAAAATTGACAGAATTTCCCACAAAATAGACAGAATTTGTCCTATTTATTTTTATAATAAGCCAATATTGCCCGACTGTGAAGGGAATATTGCCCGACTGGCTAATTGTTTGGCTGCAACAGCCCCCGCCCCGGTATGCCTTACATGTTAAACTGTTAGCCCGTGTTTACATGGCCGCCATTTTTATTTCATCAGCAATATGATACCTTACTACTCTCGCATGCATAAACTTTTTAGTTTATGCATGCAGGGAGGAAGGTGGGAAGTAAGCTATCATATTGCTGATTCTTCTGAAAAAATAAAAATGGCGTCCATGTAAACACAGATTTCGGGAGTTTTTATTGAAAATTTTCAGCATAATCAGCAATATGATGCCTTACTTCCCGTCACGCCCAGCACACATAATTCAAAAGCTGGAAATGCCTATTAGTTCCACTCGAGAAATTAAATTAAGACAAAGTCAAAGAAAAATTCTGCTCCGCACGGAAAATTCCACCTAGTGGAAAATGACCTTAACACTGTCGAACCTGTAAACAACCCCCACATATTGTTGAGTACTGGAAAATGCAAATGGTCATAATGGTCAGAACACCCAAAGAAAACCCATGAGTTTCAGCAGAGTGTTGATTGACTTTTTACAAGACCTTACAAATTGAGCATAATTTTATAATATGACAAATGAATATAATTTGTTCAAGGGCATAGCCAGTTCATTAGGGCGTTCAGCATTGATGGAATTTGCCCCCCCCCCCCAGAGTTTGCCAAAGTAGTGTACAGTGATTTAATTACATTCCCCAGCAGAAACGTTTGCTGAGGCAAAATGGCAAATTTTCGAAAGATGTAAGATTTCTGCCGAGACAAAAGTCACTAAATTAGGATGACTCAATTTGGTCACATTTTTTCTAGTTTTTTTCGATTCTCGCAAAAATGTTGATTCAAGCTGGAAAACAAAATAAGAAGCCAAAGAAATGGATTACAGCAACATGCCTTTGGAGGAAAAACGCTCGTACTACCTATGTGGCAATGACTATGTGACTTTAGATCAAGTACTATCATGGCCAGATTATGTGAAGGAGAGGCATTGGTCTTTTACCAGGGAAGGTACTGTATTATTGATGTTATTTTGTACCATTAAAACCATACTCCATATTAAAAAAATCTTTCCCCTTCTCTGAATTTCCAGCTCTTTATCAAGCCCCCCTCCTCTCTACTAAGACACCTTGCCCTTCCTATTAAGATCCCTCTTCTCTACTTAGAGGCTTTCTCTTCCTCCTTATTAAGACCCCTTTCGACCTCTGCCCTTTCTCTATTAACTCCTGCTCATCTATAAAACTGTATCCTCTATTAAAAGCCCCTCTGCTCTGTATGGCCCCATACCCTAATCTTGTTTATGACTCCATCCTCTACTCACTATTAATGCCCTCTCTCTCTATTAAGATGCTCTTCCCTTTTTCTCCAGTAAGCCTCTCCTCCATTAAAACACTAATGTAATCTCACTTTAGAAAATTTGTTCATAAACGACCCAAACCTAAATATTCAACTGTAGATCATATGATATCCACATAATTTTATTGAATTTAAATATAGGACTAATTTCTTCTATCATTCGTACTTTCCAAGGATTCTATAAGAGCATGGAATTTTCTTCCTAGGGATACAAAACGTTTATAGGTAGCAATGAAAGTATTAAGAAAGCGATAATAACTAATTTTTTGAGGAAAATGGACAGCCACAGTATGGATTACCTTGTAAACATTAATAACTTGTAAATAACTTAATTGTAACTTATATGTGGTTGTATATTATATATTTTATCTTGTAGTATTCCTCACATACTTGTTAGTTGGCAGTCCGCTTCAATTGGGGCTTAGCTCTGTTGCCCTTTTTCGCTACAAAGCACCTCCTCTTAAACCCCCTCCTCTCTTGCAAGAACTACCTCTCCTTTATCTCCCTCCTCTCCGTTAATATTGCCCTTCCCCCGTTCTTGATTAAGACACCCCTCTCTAGTCTATTAGGTACCTCATAATAACTAGTCATCTTTACCAGGCTGGCTTAAAAAAGATTCAGAATTCACCACTGACAATGATCACATAAACAGAAAGGTTTCACTCTGGCGAGGAGATATAACACGGCTTGAAATTGATGCTATTGTGAATGCTGGTAGGTTTCTTAGCTAGGTTTCCCAAGGTGGACAAACCAGGAAGCATTGTTACGTTTCTCAAGCTTTGAGCAACCGAACGTGAGAACGTCAATTTTGGCAATAGGAAACATAACTCGGAGCTTGACGTCTTGAGATCTGATAAATAAAACAGAAAAGAAAATGTTATAGAAAAGAGACGCCTATTAAATCTGGTGGGTAAATATTGTAAAAGATACAGGGAAAAATTGAAATTTTCTACTACAGTATATTAGCGTGCACAAGATCTTTTGACTCAGGTTTGCAGTTAGCTCCAGTCACTTGCAGGTATTGCAAGTAATGCAGTTACCTCGGATCCCAATATCTGACACCCGTGATAAAAAGTGTTGTGAAGCCACATTTATTATTTTCTTTCAGCAAATAAAAGTCTTGTTGGAGGTATTGCAAGTAGGTTGTGTTTTTCAGTGGCGTCTTGTGGACAGGTTTTGATGGAAATCTATCTTGTTTGCTTACACAACGTTTACTATTATTTTCTTTCAGCAAGTGTAAGTTTCTGGCCAGCAGCTCGTACAGGTAGGTTGTGTTCCTCAGTGGCGTCTTATGGACAGGTTTTGATAGAAATCTATCTTGTTCGCTTACACAACGTTACTCATTATTTAGTTGATGATTGTATTCATCGAGCTGCAGGCAAGGAACTTCTAGAGGAATGCAGAAAATGGAATGGATGTGACATTGGCGATGCTAAAATCACCTCAGGTACAATCATTGAAATGAATATAACTGGAACGCTACCTCCAACCGGAAATTTGAAGCCAAACTTGAAAGCCAGTCCCACTATCCCACTCTTTTCACGCATGCGAAGAGCACTCAATCAGTCAATCATGATATAAACACGCGTGACGTAACCACGCGTTCCAGATATATTCATTTCAATGAGTATAATACATATTTATTATTTTCGAAAATTTAACCATTGAGTGCCGGCGCTGTCAACTTCATGAGTAAAAATTGTCTGGCATTGGACGAAGTAAAGTCTGTAATAAAATAGGGTGCATTATGGCGCAATGCAAGATAGGCCACGGTCAAACGTCGAACTTTTCATGTGCCGAACCTAATGCAAATGAAGTGAAACAAACAACTTAGCTCATTAACATTAGGTTCGGCACATGAAAAGTTCGACGTTTGACCCTGGCCTTAATTAAGATTTTATATAAAACCTCGGTCAAACGAGGAGTTGGTGAGAGTTACCAGTCACGCATTGTTACAGGGGACATTTCAAGCTCTAGATGAACAAAATAAAGGTTTGATGAGTGTTCCAACTATGTTTTAACTTTAATAAAATACATGATAGTGTTGGGAAAGCATTAAGAACAGCTAACCAAGCTCGCGTGACTGTCAACTCTCATGCACTCTCATCCTCGTTTCATCCGGGCTTAACTATCCTCCTTTGTGGTATTAATGCGTGTTTTCCTTCTATTTCGACAGGACAAAAACTTCCAGCTAAACGTAAGTACGCAAATCATTTGGTTAATTGCCCCGTTTCAGTACACTTGTATACAAGTCTTTTTGTGTCGAACGGTGTCTGTGTCCTGCCGTTTATTTTCAAGCTTGCTTGTATACGCTGTAAAAATAGTTTTACTGACGGTACATTCATGAAGAACAACAATCCAACGTGGAGACCAGATTTTAGAGCAGATTTTAGATTTTATTTTTTTCATGTTGTGTAGATGTGATTCATACGGTTGCTCCATTGTTTGAAGAAGAGCGACTGTTGGAAAGCTGTCATAATTCCTCTCTCAGGCTGGTGAAAGAACACGAATTGAGTTCAGTGGTATGTTTGCATACAGTTTAGTTATGATAATATTTTATGTGCTATTTACAATATCAGCGAGCCGAAGGCGAGAGTTTGCATATTCGATACAACACGGACGCAAATGACGCAAATGTTCTAAATAGCTTGTGAAACGTCTTGATGAGAACATTCGTATTCTTCAACAATTTTAAATAAATGAATGATATAGACGGTCTATATAGACCCGGTGAACTATATTTGTTATATAGTTTAGTGTATATACCTTATTCATAAATCGTGATCGATCCCTCGTATATCCTAGGATACGGGCAAAACGCGGGAAAACAAGCGAAAAATGCTTGACAAGCGAAAGAGGCTTGACAAGCCAAATTCAGATGCTATTGTGTCGACTTCACTTTAACGGCCTGTTTCTTATTTCGATTTTTAACGATTTTTGTGTGTATTTTGAGATTTTGGCCATACAAACTACGACAATAGTACAAAGGTTTCTTTTTCCGATTGACTGCCATAATATTTTCGGAAAAAAGCGAAAAAGCCGACAGCGAAAAAATTTTTTGTTAATTTTTTTGCGGTTTATTCCCGTTTCCTAGGATACGAGGCCTCGATCATGATTTATGAATAAGGTCTATTCGCTATTTGATGAGAAAATTGAACTTAAAGTTTATGTAAATGAGCATGATTTTCTATCAAATATACAAACTCCTCGACGCTCATGATTTCTTTTGTGTTTTCTTCATGAATTATTAATGATTTCACAAAATATTTGGGTAATGACTAGCCTCCTCCGCAGGCAACTCTGTTATGGTATCACAATTCACAAAGCTCAGTGATCCAGTACGGTTCCCCTGTGTAGTGTATGGGCGGGCGGGTTACGCGGGCGGGTTACAGGGAAAAGAAAAGGAGGAGTTGCCTGCCATATATCGAATGGTAGTGACGTGCCGATGTAGATTGGATGGATGCGCCAATGTACCCGAGTACCCTAGGGAAGGTTTTGCACATAATATAATTGCATTCTACATGCTTATTGTAAATATGGCGTCGAAAGCATGTGGGCAAATTGACGATAAGCAGC